CAAATACTAAGCGTTTAAAAGGTATCTGCCCTTAAAGTATAAAACAAAAACAACTAATTTTTAAGCAAATAACAAAACCGACTTCAATTCTCATACAAAAATTTAAGAGAACCGTAAATTTCTTCATGATACAATGATCGAATCTATACCAAATTAGTCTGAGGTACATCCTTTTCTTAAAAAAAAAAATATTTATAGAAATCGGTTAACGTGGTCTTATAAAAGAAATTTAGTTTTTCAAATTGAGATCTCGATTAAACTAGATTAACTACACTGCCGGAAAATAGTATTGGCACAGAAAAGTTTTTACAATACAGGCAACAATTTTTATTTTTATTTTTTCCGCAAATTTTCTATAAAAATGTGGTTCATACTACAGCAAAAAAGAAAAAAAATATCTAATTTCTAAATTTTGTGCAAAACTTTTATCACATTTTTTTTTTAGATTTTTTTTTGCGTATGCAGTTTGGAGCCCAATAAATTGTATTACAACAAAGTGCAAGTTTGATGTAGCTGTGACTTACCGTCGATTTTTAGAATTTTTTTCACGCAGTTTTTCTATACAAAAATATTTTCAAAAATACTTTGTATGGAAAAAATGCGAAATACCATGTGTCATATTTTCTGAACTAGATCTGATACAAAAAATTTCAATCACAGATTTGAAATCGTAATTAAAAACTAGGCTAATATCATGTAATATAACCTAATCATCAGAAATGCTGTTGTGCGGCGTAATTAATGATATACCGTCGTCTGTGCGCAAGAAACGTGAATGTATAAAAATTTAAATTTTGGGAAATCAAATTTGAAAGTTTTTTTACGAGACTTGACCTGCACTGCTGTCTTTGGCATTTTAAAATATATGGTCTCCGTGTTTGCTTGGTATGCTGGGATTTCGTATAACGTAGAACTTCAAAAGGTTAATCCAGTCAACCCAATAACTCAAAATTGGTTGATTTGAACGTTCGCGCTTGTGGCAATAGGAGGAAGATTTATCATCGTGGTAGACTGCTCTATCTCAGCAAGTAATTCAAGAGCGCCTTGTCTTAGCTCGCGAGATATTGAATTTATATTGAGACGGGGCATTAACTAAGGAGCATCTGAGATAGGGCGTTTTTGAAAAAAATTTGAATTCTCTGTTTTCTTGTTCTAGTTAGTTACTAATTTGCTTATACTTTTTATTTTTAAAGTACTCGACTCCTTTAAGGACCTCAGAAAGCTAAAATTTTTTTAGTAAGGTATTTAACCGCGTTTTCCTGTACGCCCAAACATAAGAAATTGAGTTACTCCTTCCCTTGTGAGTAGTAAGGCATTTAATTTTGAATAACGAGGATGATAAGTCATAGCCGTCTCATAAGATATTTTAATTATCCATATTTCTGCGCCATACATAAGCGCGGGTATGATGAGTGGACTTATAGAGTGTTATTTTTGTTTTGACAAGAGAGGACTTTACGTCCCAATTGCCTACTCAAAGTAGCACTTTTTGCAAGACAAGGAGAATCACTCCGTTGGATTTCAAGGCTGGCATTATTATCGGTGCTAATGCTAGTTTCTTTTAAAACGCAGTCCGCTACTTTTTATACCCGAGCGCACTTGTGCACAAGGGTATTATAACTTTGTTCACATAACGGTTGTTTGTAACAGGCAAAACGAATCGAGATAGATATAGACAAATGTATACATAAATGATCAGAATAAAAAAAAAAAATTAATAGAAAACCAAACCATAATTAGGAGACACTTACCTCTCTGGCCATTACGACATGCCTCAACAAAGCCGCCCACGATATCGAGGGTCTGTGGTATCTGCCATCTGGTACCGCCGCGCTGCCACTCTGCCACCGTTGCCACTGGCCGCATTAAAAACCAAATCTCCACCAAATGGCAGTGCAATGCACGCTCTCCAGTGCGTTGAAATGTTTTATAGCTAGCATGCAATTTTTATTTGAACGACAATTTTATTTTTTTTATATTTTATTTTTGTGCGCCGATTGGTTTGCTGATTCACGTGTAGTTTTAAATGAAGTTTTACTTTTTCATACTAAGTTCAATTTTATTTTTAGTTTCTGGTGTTATTTAAGGAGGTTGTAGTTTTTGGATATCGTTTTATTGCTTCGTAAATTTTGTTTCGTTTTCAAAATGAATGTAAGATGAGTTATTAATTTGTGCATTTCATTTTTATTGGGAAGACAATGTGTTTGTTATAATGGTTGCTCGTTTCCTTTTATCTTTTAAAACGTGTTTTATTGTTTTTGTTTGTCATTATCTTTATTTTAGTCGAGATGAACGATTTTCCATAAATACAATGTTAATGCGTTATACTTGTTGTGGTTATAAGCACTGATTGGTAAAAAATGTAAAAACATTTATTGTTATCATTTTTTGAAAATAATAGTGATGCACAGAACCGAGGAACCGGAATCGGAGAACCGGGTCCCTAAGAGAATCGGTCCGATTCTTACAAGAACCGAAAAACTGTTCTAATGGAACCGATTCCAAAAACCCGAAAAACGGTTCCGGAAAAAACGAAACTCGATTCCAAATGACCCAAAAAATTACTCCGGAAGAAACGAAACTAGATTCCAGAAGACCTGAAAAACGATTCGGTTAGAACCGAAATTCGTTTCCAAAAGACCCGAAAAATGGTTCCAGAAGAAATGGAAAATGATCCCAGAATAACTGAAAATATAAGTAAAAACAACTGAAAAAATATTCCAAAAGAACCGAAAACGAATCCTATAGAACCGAAAATGGGCAAAAAATCTATTGTTTTGACATCAAGTCTAATGTTTACGTTATCAGCCCGAACATCGGTTTAAATATATAGAGTACTGAGTTAACCTACCAAATCGTATTCGATTCAGGGCACTTACATCAACTTCATTGTTTTTCATGTTATCCTATGTTATAGAGACCCGATCATTGTTATTTTCACTGCAAGTAATCTGTTGATAATGGGTGGAAATAGCGCGAAATGTCATGTTCCTAGCTGCATAAATGGAGAAGTTACAACGAAAAATCTCATATCTAAACAATCAGTTGTATGGTGGCTATATGTTATAGTGGTCCGATTTTTCCGGTTCCGACGAATGATTAATACATTATCAAAATACACCCACCTACCAAATTTGATCCGGATATCTCAAAAACTGAGAGACTAGATTGCATACAAACAGACGGACAGACGGACATGGCTAAATCGACGCAGCTCGACGTTCTGATCAAATAAGTATACATTTTAGTGGGTCTATCTCCTCTTATTCTGGTACTTACAAACCTCGGACAAAAGTTATAATATGATTTCATGCTCATGAAAGGTATAAAAATAAAATAAATAAATCCGAGAAGCCCCAAAAAACGAAGACTAACTGAAAACCCCACAAGGTCACTAAAAACGCAGAAATATTCTCCGAAAAAAAAAAATTGAAAAAGTCTCAAAGAGTCGACTTTTTTCAATTCTAGAAAAAAATTAAAATATTCCTGGGTTATTTTCTGCTAAAAAAATTTCAAATTCCAAAAACAACTTTTATTTACAGTTTCAGGGCGACAATTATTATCCAATAGTATGTGGTTTATGAAGTTTTACGCATTGAAATCTTTATCGAAAATACCTCATTAACAAACAAGTAAATACAAATCGCCTAGTCCTTTATTGAAAGAAATTACGAAGTCAAAAATATTACGTAAGTATCTTTTTTAGCAATTAATTTCAAACCTTGACAATACTAATCTTATTTCCTTATTTTTTTTACAACCTAATTGCAGCTCCACAACAGTGCAACCTTTTACCAAATTTTGCTTTGCAACTCCAGCAGTTTTATGGAAATCTCCTTTGTACACAGGTGTGTCGAGAAAATATTGAAGTACTATATTAACTATTCATTAAATGCCGTTTTCTCAAGTAGGTTTCGAAATTTATCTGCCCTTCAAACGCATTGGTTTTTCAGAACAAATTTTTGTTTAAAGCGCAGATTATGTACTTGATAAAACGACCTTAAATTTTTTATGGTTCTAATCAAATTCGAATCAAATGAGCAAGTAAACATTTTAAAGCTCATTACACATCGAACACTGAGTAGTAAGGAAAAACTGCAAAAAAAATATCGACAATTAAATTTTCTAAAACATCTACTATGCATTTCAGTTTCTCTACGTGTTCTGACATTTATTGCTCTCTTCTTTGGCACAACTATCGTCCACATTTATTCCACCACCACCACCGCCTTTCAATTTAATTCGATGTTCGAAAATCCACAAATAAGAATCTCGATTTTCACTTTACACTTTCCACTGTTATTTTATTGCTATTTAGTTACTGCTTCCGTTTCCTTTTCATTCACACTCACACACGTATTTGTATGCGTTCACTACTCGGTAGGATTTCATACACTTCGCATGCTCATCGTTTTGACATTTTGTCGTCACTGTTGTTGTCGTCGTCGTCGTCGATCGCGTAGCAGCATAAACGCCCAATCGCTCGGCACTCCTACACCTACACGATGTTTATTTAACTCACTACAACTTCATCTCTCTAGTTACTCATCCTTATCTGGGTATATTTGTCCCTCTATTTTTCTTTCTCTTTCTCTTTTTTCTTTAACGCCACTCTCAACAGTTTTGTTTTACTGTATAGCACACAATTTTTGACGTTTCCAGCCAGAGCTTTGAGGTTTTAATTGTGTATATGCGTGTGTGTGTGTGTTTTCCCCCTTTCTTTATCACAGTAATCCGCGTGAAGTTGGCTGCATTTCCTGTTTTACCCAGTATTTTAGATTTTATTACACTACGCTTATCTTTCGGTGCACACGCTTTGTTTCATATTTACTATTTCGTCTCTTTTGTGCGTAAATTTTGCCAAATTTACGTAAAATTTCTCTACTACATACACTTACATCCGCTAATTTCCTTCCTCACCATTTTCTTTTATTTTTCCTGTTTTCGTTATGGAAGTCCAGTCAAACGATTCAAGTCTTCAAGTATGTTTACACACTTATGGCTTCGTAGGTATGTAAGTATGTATGTATGTATGCATGCAAATATGTATTAGTTACTTGTGTGAATTTTACATGTGTTTGCGTATGGTCCACATGTTCTTGTGTCTTTGTGGGACTACCCTGTAGGAAACTCCGAACTGGTGAACAAAATTTATAGTCCCCTACTAGAGATTTATCGCCAAAAACGAACCAGTCCGGTAGTAACTAGATCCCAGCTAGTTCAAAAGCAGTGAAATTTGGTGATTTTACAATGCTTTTTAAGAATACTTTTACACTGCGCTTTAAAACTACACATCGCCAGCTAAGAGTGAAAAGTTGTTGTTAGGTCCACTTTTTCAAAAAAATTATAGTTTAATGCAAGATGCAAGAAGAGTTAGAAAGGCATCTTTTTCTAAGAGATCGAATGTTCTGTTATAATTTTAACCATTTCGGTTCCGTGATACGCAAATTTGGTGAAACCAAAACACTCACAGAAAATGTAATAAGTCCCAAAGAATAAAAAAAAACATTTGATTAGAAGCCTATATCTAAGATGACGAGTTTAGAACTGTTTCAGAACTCTAGAAAAAGGGATGCAGAACGAATTAGATCTCATCTGGCGAATTTAAATCTAATTCGGAACTAGTAACTAGATATTTGTTTGGCGGCTTTTTCGTTCACATACGCTGTCATTCTGCACTTCGCAGACGCCTTTTCATAGTTTGGTAACACAAAAAAAAATGTGTTAACATTTTAGCGTCTTGGGACCTTCTTGAATCTAACTACTGCAAACTCAGCCACAACCACAGGTACGTGGGCGTACATTTCTTACGATCATTGAAACAAAAATTAATTTGAAATTGAAAACACATTTTATTGAAAATTATTTAAAATAAACCAAAATAATAAAAAAAAAGTCACGATTCTTTTTTCGTCTATCGATTATTGAACTGGTGTGTAACTATAGAATTTGGGACTAGTTCGGAACTATTGAAAAAGGGATGCAGCTGGGGGCAATTGACCCTTCGCAGGACATACCAATATTAGCTTCGCCAGTTGCTGGCACGCGAAGGAGAATTAACGCGCACTAGTCATGGTTCTGAATAGTGCCTCTCCCGACAGGGTATGTATGACCGAGTTATAGTACGTACATACATATGTATGTGCCTGTGTATGCATATTTACATCTGTTTTCCGGGAAAAAATCGGCTCAGCTTCAGGCAGCAGCGTCAACAAGAGCAGCAACATCTCGCGTTTAGCAGATTTCGCAGCACAATTCTTTTATTATTTATTCATATTTGACCTTTTTCTCTCTTTTTTTTACAATTACTAATTGAAGGAAAATATTTATCTGAGTTAGGCTGAAGGCCACTAACGTATGCAATACAATAAAGCGAGTAGTTATGCTGGTCAGCTTGCAGTCCTCATTAGTTCAGGCCTGGTGTCGACAGAATCATACATACATATGTACATGTATAAATAACGTTACATTGTACATACATACATGGTACATTGTTATTGATAAAGGACTTAAAATTGTATAAGAATACTTAAAACGTCATAAANCCCAGGCCACCAACTGTGCCAAGTTTGGAAGAAATTGGTGCAGCGGTTACCAAGATATACACATGTAACCATAAGTGGGCGTGGCTACGCCCATTTTCCAAAAATTTATAATATTCTTATTTTTCGTCTAAAAATTATTGTAAATATCAATTTTGAGTGAATTATCTTCAGTAGTTACTAAAATATCGCAGTTTTCGTATTTCTGGAAATTACCGTTATATGGGAAGTGGGCGTGGTTAAAGTCCGATTTCGCCTAAAAATTTATAATACCTACATTGGATTAACGGAAACCTACATACCAAATTTCGTTGAGATATCTCAATTTTTGCTCGAGTTATCGTGTAGACGGACAGACGGACAGACGGACAGACGGACGGACAGACAGACATGGCTTAATCGATTTCTTTTTTCATCCTGATCATTTATGTATACATTTGTCTATATCTATCTCGATTCGTTTTGGCTGTTACAAACAACCGTTATGTGAACAAAATTAATATACCCTTGTGCACAAGTGCGCTCGGGTATAAAAAGCATACATTATTTGGAAAATGGACTTGAAATAAGCAACTTAAGCAGTGCTCTACTTTTTAAAATGTGTAGAATGTTTTCGCTTTACTAGGTTGGTTAGTTCAAGTAAATTGTTTATGTTAGCAAAATTGGATCCCATATAAAATATAAGTTTACGTGAGTATTTTTTGGATAATAGGTAACCCTCCATATCAGATTGTGGAGTTACATCCCGAGGGTACCTTCGTTACGCCTGTCCCACGAGTTCAAACTTGTAAGAATTTCA